CTGCTGGAATGCTTCTTGTACCTCGTTTCCATTATCCGTGATGACCTCGGCTACCGCTCCATAGCGACAAATGATCTCTTCCCAAAAGAATTTCCGAATACTCGAAGCATCAGCTCGTCGCAACGCCCGTCCTTCTGCTGCTTGAGTAAGATCGTCTCGGGCAGCTACAATAAACTTGTATCCTTGTGCGGGAGGCATGAACATGATGTCTAAATAGACACGAGTAAATATGGTTGTGGGAACTCTAATAGCCAGTGGTACTTCCACTTTCTTTGTGCTACGGATCTGACATTGATGGCATGACTGCACATGATGTTGCACGTCTTGATATAACCCTGGCCAATAGAATCGTAACTTAATAGCTTGAAACACTGCCTCCACTCCACGGTGACCAAGACTTTCGTGTGCTTCCCATAGAATTCGCTGCCGAGTTAGTTGATCATAGATGACTTTAGCTGGGAGCTGACCATCTCGCCTCTTAAACAATGCCTTGTCTCGCACAAAGAATTGTGCAGTCCGATTCAGAAACCGTCGTTTTGACTGAACATCTGGAAATGTCGGTAATTGCAGGGTGGTAAGGAATTCTTGGATGGCTTTCAACCGATCATTCGCTTCCTCTAAAATGAGACAAGAAGGTAGCGGATCGTACATCTCGGCTGGTTCCAAATTGGGTACCGTAATGACTAACGCTAAGCTGTCAAGCCACTCATCGGCAACTTCGGGCTGATCGTCAGGGTTCTCGAAGTCCTCTGGGAGTTGGTCTCTGCGTGATAATGCGTCTGGAGCTAAGTGTTTGGTGCCTGGTACATGCACGAGCTTGAAGGAAAACATGAGAATTCCTTGGATCCACCTATTAATAGAAGCGTTCGGGAAACAATCGGGATTATTTAGCATCTGCTTGATGAATTTAGCATCGACTTCCACTTGAAGGTTTTTGACCCCAGCTATGTATAACCGGAAATGCCTGAGTGCGCGGAAAAGTCCGTAAAGCTCCAGCTTTGGTTGGCTATAGGCGGCTTCTACCTTGTTCATAGGGATAGAACCATATCGGGCCGGTCGTTTCTTGCCTTCATCGTCCAACTGAGAGAGGACAAATCCCACTGCTATCTGACTCGAGTCAACAGATAGAATGACCGGATTTTCTGATGTATAATCGATCGGCCTAAGGGCGGGTGCACTGCAGACTTTTTCTTTTAGAGTTTCAAAGGCTTGGATTCGTCGGTCATCCCATTCTATGTCAGCGTCCTTCCTCACCATTTCCGTGAGTGGCCTTGCATATTTAGAATAGTCTTTGATCCAAATGCGCACAGTGCCGCATAATCCCAAAAATCCACGTATGCCTTTAGTTGTCTGTGGCAGTGGCCATTTCTTAATCTTTTCTACCGCCGAGTCATTAGGAAACCTCCCTTCTGGTGTGCACTTATGTCCCACGATGATAACCTCGCGACGACATATTTGAGTCTTCTTTCCAGAGAACGTTGCTCCTGCTTCACCAATGCGGTGCATTATCCGATGTACATCGTTGATGTGTTCCCACATAAACCGCCGGATTCCTGGGTTGTCTGGAATAGTTTCGGGATGGCCGTGCTTATCGGGATACTTGGTAACCGATCCCTTAATAGGGAGGTCATCGATGAATATATTAGCGATATCGGGTATTTCATCTTGTAATATAAACATCATGCAGTTCTGAAACTCTGCTGGGCTGTTTGTGAATCCCATAGGCAATGAGGCTATCCGCAGGAGTCCTAGTGGTGTCATAAAAGATGTCATGTCACGGCTGGCTGGATGTAGTGTTCGAGCATAGAATCCCCAAAAGAGATCGAATACAGTGTATACTGTTCTCCCTGCAAATGGTTCCACAAAATCATCTAGGTTCGGAGGTAATCCAGCGTCTCTTATAGTCACTGCGTTCAATGGCTCTAGATTGTGTACAATTCGGAGTTTTCCATTCTTCTTGGCCACGCAAAACCATCGAGAACGGTATGATGCTTGACTCGGTTCGTATACGCCATTTGCTATGAATTCCTTAAGCATTCTGATGACTTCATCACGGTGGCCTGGAGGAATAGGGATGTTTGGATACTCCCACGGAGAGTGCGGTTCTACCGGTATTATATAAGGAGAGAAATAATCATCACGGAAAATTCCCCGTTCGTGGTCTTCGAAAGCGAGTGCTCGCTCATTTGTTACCAATACATGCTTGATAAGCTTCTCTTCCTCCGGCCACATGTAGCCATCTGAGTTTACCTCCATGCCTTTCATGCGCTCTTCAGTGATCCGAGTAGTAGGCGTGAAGTCCGGTGGATGGGTTGGTAACTTTACGAGGTTAAGTAGCGGGTCTTGTGGGAATTGTCGAATAACTTTGGCATCTTCTGGATAGATGCCAGGCACTGGCTTTACCTTACGATCAACTCGTTTATAAGCTCCGAACACTGCCGCAGGGTGTGTCCAATTTTCGCTTATTGGTGGGACGTAGTTATGTTCCGACAGGTTGTTCTCCGGGTTTGACGCTGATTGAATGTTATTGACGTATCTGGGCGGTGCCTGATCTGCGTCCAAAAGGCTGAATGCGGGAACGCTACCACCACCCCATTCTGTAAAGTCTACTTGAGATGGGTCTCCGACCCATACGGCTGTCATCCACTCGTCTTCGTCTTCATAGTTGCCGGCTTCGACTGTGTGGCTGTGTCTTAATAAGGTATGGTCTGGTACCAAAGTACCCGTGTCTGGACGCGTAGGGGTGGTGGGTGGCACTTCTTGAGTTGACGTCCACTCGCGCATTGTCACAAGTCCTTTAGAAGAGGTAGTCCCGAGTTTGTTACTTATCCTAAGTCCTTGAATTGGCTGCACCTCTCGCATTCTTGTGTTAATACTCAAGCCCGAAGCACTTGAGTCATTATGTATCACAAGTTTGTATTCACGAGAGGTACATGGTTCGCAGGCAACAGGATTTCAGTATACTACGGAACTACTTACTTCAGACTGAGTTGCATACTTGTCAATGACACGAGCCCGATAACTATCAACTATCTTACGATACTGCATGCCTCCGAGGACCAGCGGTAAGAGTCCGTCATTCTTCGCTACGGTTTCCGAGCCATTCTTCAAGGGCTTCGCGTTCTTCGGCCGCGATGTCGACATCCGTATCTCCTGCAATTCGGGTGTAAGTCCCGAGTCGGGCGGAGTCAATAGCGGAGTCTTACGGTCATAAAGGTCATCCCGCGTCCACGACTCGAGGATGTCGCGAGCAGTGTGCGCATCC